ACACGTAGGCATGAAGCGGTGGAGCAAAGACTGAAGGCGGCTCCGGCCGGAGCGAAGGCCTGGGTCCTGGGTGCCAGAGGAAAACTGGTGCCAGCAGCCAGGGGAAGGGAAGGCCTATTGCACGAATCTTTTCATGCAATAGGCCTCTAATTTAATATATAAAACTTTATAAGTGGAACTATCCCATCAATAGGCAAAGTGTAATAAAACCTATCTAGATGGATAGTATGTAATTTCTGCACAGGTCTCTGTTTAATGAATACATCACTGTATACTGGTCAGGAATCTTGCTCCAATAAAGGAACAAAAAGACTTAAAAAATAATAATAAAAATAAAAATCTTCTTCATAGCAAAAGAAGCCATCAACAAAACAACAAGAAAGCCCACTGCATGGGAGAATATATTTGCCAATGTTATCTCCGATAAGGGTTTAATCTCCAACATTTTCAGAGAACTCATACAATTTAACAAAAGGAAGATAAATAACCCAATAAAAAAATGGGCAAAAGACATAAATCAGCGGTTCTCAACCTGTGGGTTGCGAACAATGAAAATACATCCTGCATATCAGATATTTACATTACGATTCATAACAGTAGCAAAATTACAGTTATGAAGTAGCAATGAAAATAATTTTATGGTTGGGGATCACCACAACATGAGGAACTGTATTAAAGGCTCGCGGCATTAGGAAGGTTGAGAACCACTGACATAAATAGACACTTTCCAAAAGAGGACATACAGAAGACCAAGAGACATATGAAAACATTCTCAAAGTCACTAATCATCTGAGAGATGCAAATCAAAATGACAATGAGGTATCACCTCACACCTGTCCCAATGGCTATCATCAACAAATCAACAAACGACAAATGCTGGCGAGGATGTGGAGAAAAAGGACCCCTCGTGCACTGCTGGTGGGAATGCAGACTGGTGCAGTCACTGTGGAAAACAGTATGGTGTTTCCTCAAAAAGTTAAAAATGGAACTCCCATTTGACCCAGTAATCCCACTTTTAGGAATATATCCCGAGAAACCAGAAATGCCAATCACAAAGGATCTATGCACCCCTATGTTCATAGCAGCACAATTTACAATAGCTAAGATTTGGAAACAGCCTAAGTGCCCATCAGCAGATGAGTGGATTAGAAAACTTTGGCACATCTACACAATGGAATACTACACTGCTATAAAAAAGAAGGAACTCTTACCATTTGCAACAGCATGAATGGAACTGGAGAGCATTATGCTAAGCGAAATAAGCCAATCGGAGAAAGATAAATATCACATGATCTCACTCATTTGTGGAATACAATGAACAACATAAACTGATGCACAAAAATAGATCCAGAGACAGAGAAGCATCAAACTGACTGTCAAACCTCAGAGGGAAGGGGGGGGGGGGGGCGGAGAAGGTGGAAAGAAATCAACCAAAGGACTTGTATGCATGCATATAAGCATAACCAATGGACACAGTCACTAGGGGGTGAGGGCATTTGCTGGGGGGTGGGAGTGGCCGGAGAGAGGTCAATGGAGGAAAAAAAATAATATTGTAATAGTTATGTATGGGCTGGGGTGGGGGTACTTGAAATATTAGGGGGACCACTCTGCTAAGTATTTGATTGTCTAACCACTATATTGTGCACCAAAACTAATACAGAATGTGAACTATAATGGAAAAAAATGGAAAATTGTATGTTATATGTTTTTCATCATCATCATAATAAAAATAAATAAAATAAAAAAGAAATGGAGTCTGCCACTTAAAAAAAAGAACCACCTTGTAAATGTTACACATGCTTACTTTACTTGTTTTATTAAGTATAATTTGATCTTTTTCATAGTGAAGTATGATTATCACAAACATTATGCTTAAACAGAAAGCTAAAATATATAAAATCCTTGCTTTTTCAAGTAGCTTTTTATTCAGTAATTTCAATGATACATTACATAATTTTAAATTTTCAAGCAATATAAAAGTATATACCATGAAAAACAAGTCTTCCTCCTACCCCAAAATCTTTACTCCCATTCCCAAAGGTACTCATTTTTAACAATTTCTTGATGTTGCCAGAAATTTTCTTATGTGTGTACACACACTTTTTGAGGTTTTGCTGTTTACAAATAGAAACAATATACACAGTAGTGTCCTGTCTTCTTTCTTTTTTTTTTAACTCTAACAATGAATCTTGGTGGCTTTTCCATATCAAATATTCAAATCTAATAACCAGACTTTTAAAATAGTGCAAAGTATTATAGATTATTAATTTTTAACTGGCCTCTATCAGTATTATTTCCATTTTTTACTATTACAAAAAATACTATACTTATCATCCTTGTTCTAACTACATGTACAATTATACTTCATGGATACATCTTTAGAAGTGGAATTGCTGGGTCAAAGAATGTATTTTAAAATTGTATAGAGACTGCTCAAGTGCTCTACTCCACCCTTCCTCAAAGCTGATCCATGAAATATGTTAAAATAGATGAAAAATAGTATCTTATTTTCATTTGCATAATTCTGAGCAGGGTTGAACTTTATTTCATAAATTATAGGTAATTTATGGGTTATTTTTCTGTTCAAAAATCTTTTTCTTGTTGTTAATTTTACCTTTAATTTTAAGCTTGATTATTTACTCTTTTATGACATTTTTACCATACAATAGTTTTCATATAGGCAAATATGTCTGTCTTTAACTTTTAGACTTGGTTTTATGCAATGCCAAGATGCTAAAAAGAAGTATCTGTACTTTATTCTAGCATGTGTCCAGCTTTATATTTTTTTCAGTTTAGATCTTTAATTCATCTATAATTTATTTGGGGGTGAGGAGTGAAGTAGAAATCCAGCTTCTTTTGAAATCTAAATGGCAAGCCAGTTATTATAACACCACGTAGAAAATATTGAAGCCTTTTTTCTTGACTTAATTGAAGTGCTACTAAATTCCCAAATATTTGGGGGGGGGAGTCTAGTTTTGGGTTCTCTATTATGATTTATATTAATAAAAATGTTCAATAAATGATAATAAATATTTTACATTAATTAAGATCACTATTAGATTTAATTATTTAGTGCCCATCTACCAAGTGTATCAGCCAAAGTGCATTACCAAAGAAAAATTAGACATAAATCATATTTTTGAGTTGCTAACAATCTGGTTGCTATAAATGAGAGCAGTATTGAGATTTTCCCTCAATATTATCTTTGACTTGTCACGAGGCTAAGACAGAACCTGATTTTTTAACCTCCACTAGACTCTTTAATGCTATACCGCTATGTTTCGTGCATTATATCCCATGTTTCATCTAAATCAGAATTACCAGGCTATTTGTTTAAAATACAGATTTCCGGGGTCCCTTCTGGGACCTACTGAATCAAAATCTCTGTCAGTTCAGCTGAGAAATTTGCATTTTATATACCAAAGCTTGAGAAGCATGACTGCTACAGCATTGTTTAGTAAGCCAGAAATGTAGTTAAGGGGCAATGTGGTTTGTTTTCATCTTCAGCTGCCCTGTAGCACAACTAAATTGAAAATGGTAAAGCCATTTGTTCAGCTATGTGAGCCTCCACTCTGCACAAACAGCTGAAACTCCCGGCAATGGGAACCTACGATAAGCATTGCCCAAAGCACCGAACAACTATCCGTGGTCACAGACACAAAAACAAGCAGCAGACAGTTTGTTGGTTGAGATAAGGTTTGTAATCAGCAGCAGCAGGTAAGGTGACTGACAGTCTGAAAGCACATCCTGAGACGTGATGTCTAACACATGCAGCAGCAACAAAATCTCCCCAGAATTGATGGACAAGAAGCAGGCCAACTTGACACATGCAAATCAGCCAAGAATATTCACTGTTCTCTCAGCCCGAAGAGTGTGACCTAATCAATAATGCAAACATCCTGTTCCTCAGACTAACAACCTCTGTCATTTGAACCCTCAGAGAGAGAAAGAAACTGCTGGTACAATTATGCACAATCTTCCTCTAGTCTGAAATGTCAATGGATTAGACGAATAATGCTGGGAAGATTGGGAGGAAAATCTCACAGGTGAAGGTAATTTGCTTAACATTTTTCCATTTCTTTTTGCTTTGCACATATATCCTCGCACTTCTACTCAGAAAGCTTTCAATAGTGGGCTATCAATGAAAGACTTCAGAGAAGTGGGCTTTGTGCAAGAACCAAAAAAGAAGCAACTGTATTGATAGCGTGGTTCGGTTATATTTATAGTTCAGTATGGGAGGGGGATAGAGATGAAGCCAGAAAGACCTTTCTATCCTGATTTTGCAGGGGAAGTCTCAGGAGATTTAGATATCATATGGGTTTGCCTAAAGAATATAGCTATTTTGCCATGAGAGGTAAGGGTGCTGCATTCAGAAAACTCGGCGTGGTTTCCCTCTCATTTGTACGAATGACCATGCGTCACTTTAGAAACAGTGAAGAACTTGGAAGGAGAGAATCAGACCCAGTTTTATCAAGTAAAGAAGCTTTCCTTTGGATGATGCTTTTGATGTAGGTCACAGGAATCCCATAGTTCCTACAAGAAGAAGGAGCCAGCAGGGCCAGTTGTCGAGCTGAAATCTTGGCTGCTAGTCACTGAACAATATGTATAAGGAAAAAAGAAGACATTGTCAAAAACATTATCCCAACACCCCCTCCCCACGTAATCAACCACCCCACCCCCCGAACTCTAGCTGAACTGGAGGATGAAAAGATTCTGTCTAATCAGCCTCTAAATGCTGCCCAAGCCTCATCTGAGCAGATCAAGTTCCAGTCATTGTTCAGACAGTGGGATATTCAGCTGTTCACATCGGTGCCTCCACATTTCTCCAGCATGTACAAGGCAGTATAAATCAGCCACTACCCACCAAGCCTTCTCTAGACCCATACATTCCTCACACTCACATCGCCAGGGTAAATGTACTCTCTGAGATTTGGAGCGGGGGGGGGGGGGGGGGCGGGCAAATGGGAATAGGGAGTAAAGGTATCTCCCACCTCAGTTACCTCAATGCCTGATCAGATTCCTCCATGGGAGTTGCTTTAACTTGGGTCGCTCTGTGAAACATTTAAGCTGGGTTCCAGGAAGAAGAGAAGAGGGGGAGAAAAGGAAGAGAATTTGCATATATCTGAAAATTGCCAGAGGAATAGAACACCATAAATATAGCATAGGAGTTGTTGATAAAAAGACAGAGAGAAACCAGTGTGGAAGTTGACTCCTAAAGTTCAGAGAATTGAGACAACATAATCATTAATTGAGTATGTGGCCTTCTCTCCCTATGCCTCAAATACTGTGTTTTTTAAATTAATTTTGTTTTGTCATTTATATTCTTTGAGATAGAGGTATTCTGGATTTGGTCCCAGAAATAGGGTTGGAAGCTCTGGCCTCAAGCACAAAGTATGCAAAACTCATCCTCTCTCATAGTTTCACATGAAATCTGTTCCAGACCTGGCAGCTCCCTTGAGCTTCATGCTAATGTCTTAGTTCAGTGTGCTATCTATTGCTGTGTAACCAGTTACCCCAAACTTAGCAGCTTGAAACAACAACTATTATCTCACATAGTTGCTGAGGGCAGAAATTTGGAAGTATCTTAGCTCAGTGGTTCTGAATCAAGATCTCTCATGAGATTGCAGCCAAGCTATCATCAGATGGGGCTGCTATCGTCTTAAGGCTCAGTTAGGACAGAGAACCCAGTTCTGAACTCATTCACAAGGTTACTGGCAAACCTTAGTTCCTCACTGGCTGCTGGGCTGAGACAGGCTGGTTACCACATGGGCCTCTCCATAGGACTTCTGGCTTCCCCCAGAGAGAGAGAAGGCACCCAACACAGCCACTGCTCATGAGGATACAGAGTAACTGGAGCTCTCATACATCATTGGTGGGAATATAAATAATATCATTATTTGAGTAAACAGTTTGGCAATGTCTTATAACATTATATACACATTTTGATCCAGAAACCTCTCTCCTAGGTATTTATCCAAGAGAAATTAAAACATATGTTCATGCAACTATACATGAAATTTTATACTAGCTTTAAACATCATAGCCAAAAACTAAAAATAATTTAATTGTTCTTCAACTGGTGAATGTATACTAGTAGATAGTAGATTTAATACCTGACCTAATTGCTGTTTCAGCCTCTCCCCAAAACATAATCTTAATCAACCAGTCTGGAATGTTCTGGTCAACACCAATGAGATAGTCTGTCATATCTCTCCATCTCCCTGTTTCCAATAAAAAGAAGAGGCAATCTGTCTTATAAAAACCCTTTCCCCCAAAAGAAGATGTTCTGGTCTAAAAATAATCCTTTTTTTATGAACAGCTTCCTTGTCCCACCCTTCTTCATATAAAAACTTCTATTTTGTACAGCCCCTCAACATTCCCTTCTAGTTGCTAGCTGGGTTACTGCACAATCCGTGAATCCCTCAATAAAGCCAATTAAATCTTCAAATTTACTCAGTTGAATTTTGTTCCTTAACAATACAAAGTATAGCACATCCATACAGAGGAATGCTATTCAGCAATAAAAAGAAATGAACTACTCATACATGCAACACATGACTGAATCTCAAAATCATTATGCTGAGTAAGGAAACCTGACACAAAATGCTACACACAGTACGATTCTATAGATATGAAATTAGGGGAAAGACAAAACTAGCAGGACAGAGATCAGATTAAAAAATAATTTTAAAAGGTGGGAAGGGCATTCCAATCAGAGATAAAAGCAAGAGAAAAGGCATGGAAGCATGACAGTGTGGTGGTGCATGCAAGAAAAGAGACTACAGCTGTTCAACGTTACAGGTACATACCAGTCAAAGCAATGAGTGGCAAGCAATGGAACCCGGAGCTTTTCACCTGCACCTCCAGCTTTCACCTCAAACTCAATATATCCTACACGATCGGCTACATCCCTCTCTCCTGGAATGGTGCCATCTTGCCTGTTGATGATGTCATTTTCCTGGTCACGGAACTGTAAAGCTAGATTCATTCTTGGCTGCTTCCCTTATCTGTCCTACCAAATCCTTGCAACTCTCTTGCAATACCTTAGTTTTTGTGGGTTTTGGTGGTGGCAGAGGTGGTACACTGACACCGAAAGGTTTTCGATTTCTCTCACATACTATTCTTTCTCATCCCAGAGCTTTCATATAGATCAGGCTTTTATTTCTTCTCTCCATGATTGGCATGCAGCCCTCTAACTGGTCATAATGCATCTGGTCACTCTCTTTTCTTGCCAGATAAGTCTTCTGAAAATACCAACCTAATCCCACCACTTCCTAACCAAAAGTTGATTCAAAGTCCTTGTCAATGAAAAGACTCTCTCCACCTGATCCTAATCTACTTTTTGTTGTTGTTGTTGTTAATCCTCACCCAAGGATTATTTTTCCATTGATTTTTTTTTTTAAAGAGAATGGAAGGGAGAGGGAGAGACAGGGAAAGAGAATCATCGATGTAAGAGAGACACATTGATTGGTTGCCCTTTGCACACCCCGACTAGGGCTGGGGATAGTCTGCAAACAAGGTATATGCCCTTGATTGACCGGAATTGAACCCAGGACCCTTCAGTCTGTAGGCGGGCACTCTATCCACTGAGCCACACTGGCTAGGGCCTAGTCTACTTTTTATTCCTTAGTTCACCCCGGACAACAATCTGCTTCAACCAGCCAGTTTGAGTTGTCCATTCCCACCTGTTTGCATTTTCCTCAAGACAGATCTTACAATTCTGTCGGTGGTGCCCCCCTTACCATCACCCCACCACCACCCAGTTTCCTCTCCACATTTTAAATCCTCCTCTTCCATCATGACTCAGCACAAGTCCTACCTCCCCATTCTCACCTCTTACCCTCAGTAAGATTCTTCAAGTCACTTTCTCCTCTGAGCTTGCAGCACTTATTGTTTCACCCGTTTGGGGTTTCAGTGGTTATATTAATAATGGTAGCTTATAATTCTATAGCTGTTTAAAGATTTCAAAGAATTTTCCTGTTCATCATCTGACTTAAAGTCTTTTCAACAAATCTATGAGACTATTCCAATTTTAAAGATTAAAAAACGTGGCTCTATAATGCATAGTGATTTGTCTAAGGCAGCGATTCTCAACCTGTGGGTCGCAACCCCTTTGGGGGTCGAACAACCCTTTCACAGGGGTCACCTAAGACCATCGGAAAACACATATATAATTATATATTGTTTTTGTGATTAATCACTATGCTTTAATTATGTTCAATTTGTAACAATGAAATTGGGGGTCACCACAACATGAGAAACTGTATTAAAGGGTCACGGCATTAGGAAGGTTGAGAACCACTGGTCTAAGGTCACACAGTTAAGTAGAATATTTTTTTCATACTCTACATTTTTTAGGTAAACAAAGACAGAGCCAGAATATTGGTTTTCAGTCAAGAGGAAGAGGTAGGACTATTTTTAATGGAGAAAAGCTATTTAAAGTAAGAAATAACACATATATAATACCTTAATCAATAAAGAAAAATAAAGTCAGAGATAGACTATGTAAAGTCAGAATTGAACCACAATGACATTTTTACAGACCACAATGTCTGCTTAGTTTTTGCAAGTCTGGTAAGATACTGTGCTAGGCAGAATTCAATCTAAACAGTTCAACAGGTGGATTTTAAAAAAAACTGGGAAACTGTACCTTCAGCCAGCACTTATTTCTGCTTTTGCAACTGTAGGAGCTGACTGCGTGGGAGAGTTAACTGCTGCATTAAACGTGGAATTAAAATTAAAAAGCTCTGACATATATTTTTAGAGAACAGAAAGAATTAAAAGTAAATGCAACTGAAAATCCAGTTAGTAGAGTTGGCATTTAAATTGGCTGTTTAATTAGCAAAATTTCTATATGATTAAAGTAGTCACTTGAACATGACTTTCAAAGTAAAGCATTTTAATATGCTCTGGTTCTTAGAGGATCTGCATCACTTTATCTTTGTGTTCCCCTCTGGAATTGACTCATTCTGCAGTTTGAGTTAAGGAGCTCCTGGACTAATGCTTTAGAAAGGAGCTTATCAGAATGAAAGCAGAAAGAGAATCTTATTCGATAATAAAATATACTAGGCCTTGAAAGTGTTAGCTCTTTTCAATATAGAACGGAGTATAGGGGGAAATCTTTTTCTTCAAAGAGAAGTCTTAGATCTCTATCTTACATTCCATCTGTGTTATTGGGTTGGTAACTACCTCTGAGAATCAAAGAATTTTTGAGGTTGAAAGGACACATTTTTAAAAACGTACACACACAGGAAGGTCTTGGAGAAAAGATACCTGTCTCATTCCATCTTTTTCATTTAGAACTAGACCAAAACCATGACCAGAAAATTAGAATCCGAACAGTTTCGAAGATTAGCTAGATATTCACCAAATACATTTCCTCTTTCTGTGTGCCCAGGTATTTCCCAACTGCCTTGCACTTAGAAATGGAACCGCATGATCAGTTCTGGTGAATGAAATGTGAGAAGAGACGTTTCAATGCTCAATCAAGGCAATTAAGAGGAGTGTGCCTTCCCCGTGTGTTCTCTCTTGATGATGCCCGAGTACCCTTGAAGTGACATGTTGAAGATGGCAAAGCCACAGCATGGAAGGAACCTGCTCGTTAAAGGACTGTATACAGAAGACCCTCCCTCACTGACTCCATGGATCTTCAAGGTGAGCAAGATATAAAGTGTTATTATAATAAGGCACTGGGTTTAGGGGGATTGTTTATTAGACCATTAGGTATTGGCCTACCTACTAACTCTACACTCCACCCAAAAGAATTTTTTGCGACTATAATCTCACATGCGATATTTTGTTTAGGTTGTCCTTTTGTTCTAGTTGTCTATGCTAGAAGCCAGTGGATCTTACACTTCTTTGAACCTGATGAAAATTCATAACCCTCATCGCTAGGAAAATAAACAAATGTACTTATGTTCAAAATTTTGCCAAAAATTTCAAGATGTTTTCAGAACCCCAAGAGGCTCATCAACAGACCAGGCTAAGATCCTTGATATTAGTAATTAGTATATGAAGAATGTAGAGGAGCCCTGAGTATTAAGTGTCTATTATTTCCAAGCTTTCCAATTTTACTT